CTGATTACATACAGGGAGAGTCAGAGCCACAGGGACACAAGGACTGATTAAATACAGGGCGAGTCAGAGCCACAGGGACACAAGGACTGATTAAATACAGGGCGAGTCAGAGCCACAGGGACACAAGGACTGATTACATACAGGGCGAGTCTGAGCCACAGGGACACAAGGACTGATTAAATACAGGGCGAGTCAGAGCCACAGGGACACAAGGACTGATTAAATACAGGGCGAGTCAGAGCCACAGGGACACAAGGACTGATTACATACAGGGCGAGTCAGAGCCACAGGGACACAAGGACTGATTAAATACAGGGCGAGGCAGAGCCACAGGGACACAAGGACTGATTACATACAGGGCGACTCAGAGCCACAGGGACACAAGGACTGATTACATACAGGGCGAGTCAGAGCCACAGGGACACAAGGACTGATTATGGTGGTGACACGTCGAATACGTCATGGTCTGGTCCTGAGGTTCGTGAGTATGGTTTTACGCCGCTTTTAGCAATATTCCAGCAATATCACGGCGGGGGACAACAGACATGGGCTTCACACATTGAACCCATGTCGGGAATCGAACCCGGGTCTTCGGCGTGACGAGGTACGTGGTAATACAAGACACGCAGTACCATCGTCATCAAGTTCCTCGGTAAGAATTGCACAAAGACTGCTTGACATCCCGTGGAACCGTCGTCCTTCAATGACGTTATCGGTTAAAACTTCGGCGAAACCCACGAGCACGTATATGGTGCTGACAAACCTAGAAACAAAATCGAACCCACAACCATAGATTTCTGGCGTGCCCAAGGGACGCAACTCTGCACAGCGAATCGCGGTGCCTTAGACGACTGGGCCACCCGTGCCCCCAGATTGCTATTGAATAAGGAAATGGTTTTGTCGCTTTTGTTTTAACTAATTTGTTTATCCAAATATCACAGTAAATGCCAGTTACATACTCATGTATAACTTGTGTCGCCGGCCTTGATATCACTTGAATGTTGTTGAATGTTGAATGTTGTTCACTATTTATTATTCGTTGGTCCATCGGTAATTGCTTTGAAGATGTTTAGTGTCAAATGCAAAGTGTATATAAAAGTGTTGAAAGTGTAAAATGCCCACGTAGAAAAATAGAGAGGAATTTTCTCTCTAACAGGAGACATGTCATCCAAAGTGTTCCCATTTATTTAGACGATGCACGTGTAAAAACAAACGGTATGTTGTTTTCCATAATATATGAAAAGATTGAATTATATATTTCGCTAAATTCGTGTTATCAGTACGTAATCTTCCATTTAAAAATTAAAGCGTCCAAACGATTGTATTGATTAATAAGTTAAAGAATGTGATGGGATTCATTGCCATGATACTTGACGGTGTAAAGATACACTAAAATTGTTGAAGAATCCGTTTGTCGAGTAATAAATAGTTAAACGTCCACATTTTCGTGATATTGGCATTATAGTCGTCGAGTGTGGCGAGATTGCCGCTAAACACATTAACACCTCCCCTGCCTATTTGCCTATATGACACACGATAGGACACAAAAAGCATGTCTCGTCCTAAATTATGTATGTTCCGTACTTAATGGCTCACAAATTGTGAAGCTTTCTGTCAGTGCTTACATAAAACAAATGGGGTTTTAAGTGGCAGCGTCAGTGTAATTTCCCAAACTATCAAAATAGACAATGTGTTAATTTCTCGTCTGTAAAATACTGTCCCTGGTCCTGATTTATGCTGAACCCATAAAGTGACCCTTGGTTTTCTTAGTTTTTTTCAAAAGAACAAAATGAAACTGTTTATCGTTTGGGGAATATCACTTACTGATGTTAGTGGATTTTCAACATGTACCTTGTGGTCTTTTGAAAAGGCAGAACATGTTGGGTTTTTTGCAATATTATGCCCATACACTTCGTAATGTTACATATAAGTGAAAAATTATAATTTCAAAAAATGTACCGTTTGAAAATTGCACAGTAAATAACAAGTTGAGATCCAATTGCGAAGTAAGGCACCATTGAAAATAAATAACGAATGAACATTCAAGAGAGGCAAATATCGAATTATTTGAAGTGATAAAGTATCCAATCACTGTACGTTAAAGTACAAGCTTTTATGCTTCAAACTACAAACAAAATGTAATTTTGCAAAAATAAAGTATACAACAACAAAATTCATACATTTATGGCAAAAAAGAATTGTATTAAGAAATTGATTTTTTGACGAAATTTTCGTATTCTGTAAATAATTATTTCATTAATGCCTGCACGCGCTTGACTTAAAAAACGGTCTCAGAATTTGTGTACACACTATTAATGAAACAATTGTGTTTCGTGTTAACGTGGACTTTAAATATCCATCTTTGTGTAGAATAATACACAGGAAACATGTTCAAATGACCCGAGCGTCTTTAGTTCACATTTCTCGATAATGCGTCTTAACAACGGTTATTATTATTCTATTAATGAAATAGCACAATAGTCTTTTCAATGCGTCAAAAACCTCCATTAACATGAAATCTCTATTAACGCGGACAAGTGACATTCTGCCGCTCGGCTGAAGAAGATTTTGTATTTGGTAACTAACACAAGCTTAATAAGGTTCAAATTATATGTGACATTTAAGAAATTAACTTAGTTTGATAACATAGTACAATGATAATGACCAGATTGGGAGGGGCGATTAACGAAAGGCGAGTTATTGCGAGTTGAAACGCCATATGTGATCCTCGCTCAGAGGAGTAATCTCTGAAACGTTCGTTGTCGAGTCTTACCTTGCAAATAACAATGACGCGCACCTCGAATAACAATGATTTACCTGAATAGATAATCGGATTTGCTGATCAATTATCGCCTAGAAGCGACGGAGAATGACGAGGGGTGGGATGGGTGCGTACCGGTTAGATTAGCTTTGTTGCAAGATCGTACGTTAGCTGTTGAGCAAATCTTACGCTACATATGACATACATGTCAAGGGCGTTAAATGCATGACACATAAGATCTTGTGAAGATTATTGCATTTATTTCTTGACTTATTTATATTTTGCAATGTCATGACGCGTGTTTGATGGACGTGTCTATTTGGTATAACGGTTTTGTTCCAATGTTCCCACTACAAAGTTTAAATGACAGAATAATTTAATTTAAGAAAATATTTGAGTTCACTGAATATAAACCTTTGTCATAACGCTTGTATTTGCAGTTCTTTTGAAAAGTAAAAACCTCATACATCTCCAACAAAATACTTATGAAACCCACGTTATCGTTGTCCAACAACTTCGGTTTATGCTTAACTAATCTAAATCTTAAATTTCAAATATTAGCATACAAATTTACTTGGAAGCAATTGACATTGGTTCTAATGGATAAAACAAACGTGGAGAAATATGCTTGAAATTTTAAAACACTTTCAGAATATTTTAAACGGAAAAAGTCCAAATTCCTGACATGTTTTTTGCCTTCTTCTCACCCTCCATTAGCAGAATATGATTCTGTAGTTAACACCTCGCCCAAGCAAGTGTGGGTTAATCGTTTTCTACTTAAATAAGTTTAATTAGAACAGAAATGCGAAAAAATACCCTCCCCACTCTATGGTTGGACAATGTTAAAAACACCTGTATTGCTAGGCTAGTCATTTTCTCCTTATGTGCTGAAAATTGATAGTAATGAGTAAAAAGGGTTTCTTCTCCTTGTGTTACCCCTCTCAGAACAAGATATCACCTCAGGATTCTGACAATTCTGGGAAACACATCGAAATCTCACTTTTCAGTCAACGCCAGGAAAGGGGATCGAGGCAGCCCTTCAGTATTGCTGGTGTGCAGGTGAAAGAGGAGTACTCCACCGCGCCAGTGCAACACGAGGCGATTTAACATTTTGTGAGTTTATTATTTCTACTTTAAGAATCGTTAGGTTTCCGCTGTCAATCGACACGGAATTTTAAGTTCTCTAATATCGACTTGCAGTGTGATCGTCTTGCCAGATGGATAAATATGTGATGTGTCGCTGTATTCAAAATTCTACACATATATATTTGTTTCTTTGATAAATATAGATTTTAGAAATAGATGAAAGATTATATTCGTTTTATGAAAAGTTCAGTGGTTGAAATGTAATACGCAAAATGTGTGTTATGCATGAAAAAGAAACACATCTTTGCACATATAAAATGTCAATTTGATCTTTTATTCCTGGAATCGAATTAAACCGTCCATTGAAGCTAGAAAACAATTATGTCTTTCGGCCTTTATAAATGTTACAACTATCCTCTAGTTTGTATTTTTATAAGCAAACAAGTTTAAAGATTTTTAATAGTTCCTTTTCAAATGTCTTTGATCTAAAATAATACGTGTACCCAGGCAACATTCACCGTGTTAGATGACAACTCACCGCATATGTTTATAGAGAGTGCACAAGCAAGAACAAAATGAAAAGAAAATAGGAAGAGTGATAGAAATTTCCCTACAATTGTAACAGTTATATTTTAACAAGAAATTTATTTTTGTCACCGTGTTTGCTTTTTCACATTTAACGTTTGCAGACTGTGCAGTTCATTTTGCATATAATTTGTACAGCAAATAAATGAACCGTTTATTATTTTAACTTATTTTTAGTTTGTAAATAATGCAAATGTAGATATGTTCCCGACATCTTGGAACGGGCAGGAGAGGCTTGGCACGCAGCTGGTCCTCCTACCATGACGCTCGGAACTGTCAAAAGGACAATTTGTTTGGGAATATTTTACAAATAAAGGAAACCACACATTTGTACGAAACGTTACAACAATTAATCAGTTTCGGACTAACTAATCATACCTCTGTGAACATGGAGGCCTTGTCGCGTGTTATAAATTCAACATCACAATGTATTCGTATATCGAAAAGTGTGGTTGGAAGTAAACCTATGGCAAACATGGAGGGACCCAATATTGATTGGTTCTGCATCTTTGTAATACAAGGACCCTACACCCAATTAAGGACTAAGCAGTAACATCGTTAAAACTTTAAGAAGCAAGGCCCCTAGCTTCCAGCCGAGAGAAAAGCTTTACAAGATCATGCACATGGACTGGTTAATATTTGAGGCTGTTTGTTCAAGAAACAGCGAGCGTTCTACCTCAGCCAATGGCGTGGACTATATTGTTCCCCAGTGACAATCATCGCTGTTCATCTGCGGTACTCATCGCGTACACCGCTATCGGCAGTAAGTACTCTCACACTTCTGCATAACCATGGCAACCTGACTGCGCGCGCACATTTTCTTCCAATCTGGTCCCACGCATATTTGTTTTGTTAGATGATATTAATATGATTTTTTAGATGGAGAGACAGTAGTGTTGGCTAGCCCTCGTCAAAGATGAACCGGACCAAGTTTTCAATTGACGACATTCTCAAGCGGAAAGAAAAATGCGACACGGCTCCTTGCAATGGTTCTGAAAGAGACGACTTGAAAGCCGCGGTGCCAATGTTCCAGATGAAGACTTGCAATTCGATTGCGACACCAGATAGTTGTGTCAAACATAGCGAGAAACTACAAACTCACACACAGAGCCTAGAGAAAACTGATATTTCGTTGAATAACATTCCACAGGCTAAACAGGAGCCGTGTTCAACAAAGAGCGAGGATACGCAGTCCGTTGATAATCCTACGCCCGCCGAACAGACAATTCTAGGGCTCTACGTAGGACAAGATTCGTTTCAAAACCATATTTTGAAAAATACTGATTGTTGGCCTGTCCCACAAATCTGTGATGTTAGTGATGCGGCAGCCAGCACCGACTCCGACAACGACAACACCGTGACCGACACTGATCTTGAAGAACCAGCGGCCAGCCGATGTACGGCGTTCCAGAACACAGATATTCCACAAGACTCGTTTCATCATCCAGGTAAATACTCCACAATTACCTATAATAATTAATAAAGGTTAAAACATATAATCTGTTATAATCTAAACAGAAAATATTTTGAAGCAGTAATTATGACATATGAAAACGAAAAGCAGTAGAGGGGAATCATCTTTATTGGAAACATCGTCTTTATTATTACTTGTGTGTTTTCGCTGATAGTCACTATTTATATAATGCTCTTTTTAAATACCCATAATATCTATACGACACTTGACTATGAGATCGTGGCATTTGTCATTTATATGTCGTTAAATCCAGGATGCTAATGTGACTTGTGTAAAATTGTTTTATATATCCTTTGTGTTTAGGGTCAATTTTTAGAAAAAAACATATCAATATTTCTCAGTGTAATAATGTATGATAGCTTTCTACTGATATTTCCATTTGAAGTCAATGAAGGATAAGATCTGTCCAAATAATATATTAATACCATTATAATAATTGTATCTATTTATCCGTCTTTAAATATGTTTAGATTCTGACACGTGCAGCTATATGACGTTTGCTTTCTTGACTGCTTGTTATGATTTTCTGTGGCGTTCTTTTTCCACTGGGTGAATGCAAACTTGTTTAGATACATTTATTTTTTACATAAGAGTTACTATAATTAATATACAATATAATAAACCATTTGTATCAGAACACCGCAAAACCGAAGTATGTACCTTTCAGAGCTGTGAGAACTTATTGACACAAATTCTTCCCCGTATCTTCTGGATAAAATACAAGTTATTACCGAGTTATAGTAACTGTTTTGTGTTTTAATAGCATACAACTACCGTATGTATTCTATTGCAATAAGAAACTTGATTTTGATAAACGATTGCGGATCTCGTTATGTGAGCAAATATTGCAGACAGACGAAAAGTTGTTGTCACTCGAGTGGTTTTAGCATAATCAATGCATGTTTATCGCTCGAATATTTGCCAGCTACATTGTATGGAAGTTAAATCCTATATTCATTCATACTATTTAAATAAATTATCAGACTTAAATCATTCAAGTTTTCTTTTTCGGTTATTTGTTCAGCCGCAAAATCGATTTCTCTATTTGTGTTTAAATGGAACAAGCTATTTAAGCAAGTCATTAATCAGGATGTTTCCTCCCAGAAAATACAAAAATCAAAGCCGTCTTGACGTCTGCCGCCTCTCATCACATTCTGACTGATCTATGTCAACAATGGAATGCAATTACTCAAATTAGAACAACTTGTTGAAATATGACAGTCACTGCGCTCGTAAAACACGTTGAAGAATCTCAACTGTCATTATCCACAAACGAGAAATATTCCATTTCAGACATGCATCTTCTTAAGGGAATAAAATATGACTTTTACTGGCACGTGGCGCGCACGCGGTCCTTGTATTACTGCCACCTGGCGACGAAGAAGCAAACTATTTTTGTAAGAGAGACCAGATTTTAAGGGGGCAGTTTGGTGCGATGTTGTGGTATGTTTTGCAAATGTAAGATAGGTATAGCATGCTAAATGGTTTACTGTCACAAGCTGTGCTGGGGAGGACTGCATCGCGGGGCTACGTGCTTGGAGGGGAACGCGGGGACCTACATGTACAAACTGGAGGGGAACGCGGGGACCTACATGTACAAACTGGAGGGGAACGCGGGGACCTACATGTACAAACTGGAGGGGAACGCGGGGACCTACATGTACAAACTGGAGGGGAGCGCGGGGACCTACATGTACAAACTGGAGGGGAACGCGGGGACCTACATGTACAAACTGGAGGAGAACGCGGGGACCTACATGTACAAACTGGAGGGGAGCGCGGGGACCTACATGTACAAACTGGAGGGGAACGCGGGGACCTACATGTACAAACTGGAGGGGAACGCGGGACCTGCTGCTCCAGATACAATATGCTCGACAAGCACTTACGCCGTAATGGCAAATGATTGACATATTTAAAGTAATATTAATGTACGACATTATTTCAATATTTCCTATAGGTCTGAAAGTTCATGTAAGACGAACACCCACATCCCACATTCATTACAAGGCAGAGACACCCGTGCCGTCGTGCCGATGCAGTGTTCAATACTGTGTCATACTTGTATGTTGTATTAAATAAGACAATAATAACGAACAACTTTCTGCACTATTATCTTGCACTGGAGCACTGCACAATTAGCACTACCAGATGTTGTGTGAAGCATCTATACTTTGTAAAAGCTTTATAACGAAGCGGTAAGAAGGAAGAAAAGGACGTTCTGTCAGCTTTCCCTTCATTTACGGTATCCTAATCTAAGTTAAAAATAAATACTGCTTAAAAGTTCGTTGGTGTCAATTAAATAAGATGTACGTTACAGAACATCATTGGAATTATGGACATAAGGTAACATTGGAGATAAACTGTTGCGTTCAGGGGTATAGTGGAAATCTGTTGTAGTAAATGCTGGATATATCATTAGAGTATATTTCAACAAGAATGCACTCTTACGTTTTTGTTTTGAGAGGATGGAACAAATTCCATTGTCCTCATTTCGTACTAGGACGGGACAGAAAGTAATATTCTAGACAAAACAGTATTATCTAGCTACTCGTGTCGCTTAGTTTCAATAGCGGCACACGTTGCTGTGGAAGCGGCTGATGTTGTGGTATGATTCGAGACGATGCAACCTTCTCAAGCATTCTGTCATTTTTGTGGGGGAAGAATGGAACAAATACCATTGGCATCATTTAGTATTATAAATGGAGGGGGAGTAATATAATCAGACATGATGATACAAAATCATTATTATATAGTTTAACCTCGTATATAAATATATATGTCTGAATATTTATACACGAGGTTAAACTATATAATAATGATTTTTTATCAGCCGCTATGTATATTACCTCTAGATATTTGTTGTTGTTTTTAAACCAATATGGTCACTATAGCGACGCAGGTTGTTGGTATAGCCGCTGATGCAGTGTAAAGATCGAGATGAAGTCAGCTGATGTACACATGTCACCTTGTTTCTCCAGACCCCGGCTCCAGGCGGGAAGGGAAGCGCAGACGTCGGTCGTCGTTCACGCACTCTCAGGTGGTAGCGCTGGAGAGACGTTTCAGCCATCACCGATATATCTCGGCCCCAGAACGCTCGCACCTGGCCAAGTCGCTGAAGTTGACCGAGAGACAGGTGAAAGTGTGGTTCCAAAATCGGCGCTACAAGACTAAACAGAAAGACATGTTACTCGAGCCTTCTGCCCCTAGTGCCGCACTGTCACCGCAGGGGGCATTCGCTTTTGGTTTTAAAAAACACGAATTTGACCCCAGGCTGTTTGGCAGGACAATCCATTGGCCGGTCTATCCTTTCTTTCGGCAGTTGTATTATTGGTGAACCGATATCGAGTAATACTACGGACAATCATGTGATGCGTATGATACTTCAACTGAGATGTTACCTAATGTGTGCACATAGAAAACATCCAGATACATGGTCCACCGATTCGCGAGCAAGTCCAATACCAACACAGCCGAGTCGAGGTCACATTCTGTACATAAGTTGTATTTATGAAAGCGGATTATGAACAACAATTCTATGTTAGTCGTTCATATTTGTATCTATGTTGTTGTATGCAAATTACATAAGTGTATGGGTGTATGTGTGTATGTATGTATGTATGTATGAAAGGGCTTCCCATAAACCAAATAAACTGTACCCTGTATCGTGTATAATGTGTTGTTAATCAGCATCCACTGGCGTGACCCGATGGTACCGTCAGTAGTCACTATGGGTATCTATGAGTGCTGGCTGAAAAGTTCTAAGCCTAACTGTGAAAGACCCGTACCAAGTCGATGGTTTTCATTTATTTCTCCACATAGTCCCCTTCCAGGTTTACACACTTTTGCCAGCGATGCTGCAAGGCCTGGATGCCGGTCAAGAAGAAATTTTCTTCAGCAACCCTAAACAAGTCATTCACAGCGGAAATGACGTCATCATTACTGGGAAAATGGCGACAGGAGCATTGTCTTGGTGGAACAGGACTCCTTTAGTGAGTATTCCCTGTCGCTTAGCTTTGATAGCTTCACGCAACTGTCTCAGACTGAATTTTGGTTTCTGGTTGAAAATGATGAATCCAGGTCTCATCCATGGTTACAAATCGGGCCAAAAAATCATCGGGATCTGCTTCAAAACGGCATAAATTGTCACGGGACGTCAGGAATCTGACACGTTTCTGATCCGCTGTCAAGAGCTTTGGCACCCATCTTGCAGAAACTTTTGTCATTCCCAACTCGTTGGTGATGTGCTCAACCCTCTCATGAGAGATGCCCACAACACTGGCAATATGTCGAGTGGTCAATCGTCGATCACCAAGTGATGCACCCGGGTAATGTTTTTTCCGGAATGGTTGCCGTTGGATGCCTTCCTGGACGCGGGTCATCGTCAAGGCTCTCTCTGCCACACTTGAATTCCGCAGCCCACGTCTTTACAGTGGAAAAGGAAGGGGCATCATCCCCTAAAGTGGAGACCATTTCAGCATGTATCTGTGTTGGAGTTAGCCCTTTCAGTTGCAGGTACTTGGTGACTGCCCTATAGCCAGTTTTGTCGATTTCTGGTGGTTTCAATGGGTAGGTTCACAAGATGGTCTGGTACAAAGACAATAATAACACTACAGTTGCAGTTCTTGTGTCTATGATTCATTAAATGATTGTACTTGTTGGTGGCAAAAGTTTGTTTCAATCCGATCGAGATATCCCACTTAGGCTTAGAACTTTTCAGCCAGCCTTCGTATTGCATTGATTGTCTGAACAGGTCTGTCTTCACAGAACCAACACTGTTGTCAAACTGACACCCTGCGTTCCGTCGGGGAGTCTGCATGAGTAATCCGTGAGTGAACATATTCTTACGACGCTTTCGACGCTTACGACACTCACAAGATCCAGACTTAGGTGTTCGCACTCACAAGGTCCAGGATTACGTGTTCACACTCAGAAGATCCAGACTTAGGTGTTCACACTCAGAAGATCCAGACTTAGGTGTTCGCACTCACAAGGTCCAGGATTACGTGTTCACACTCACAATGTCCAGCATTAGGTGTTCACACTCACAATGTCCAGCATTAGGTGTTCACACTCACAATGTCCAGCATTAGGTGTTCACACTCACAAGGTCCAGGATTACGTATTCATACTCGAAAGATCCAGACTTAGGTGTTCGCACTCACAAGATCCAGACTTAGGTGTTCGCACTCACAAGGTCCAGGATAACGTGTTCACACTCACAAGATCCAGACTTAGGTGTTCACACTCACAATGTCCAGAATTAGGTGTTCACACTCACAAGGTCCAGCATTATGTGTTCACACTCACAATGTCCAGCATTAGGTATTCACACTCACAAGGTCCAGCATTAGGTGTTCACACTCACAAGGTCCAGCATTAAGTGTTCACACTCACAAGGTCCAGCATTAGATGTTCACACTCACAAGGTCCAGCATTAGATTTTCACACTCACAATGTCCACGTTAGGTGTTCACACTTACAAGGTCCAGCATTAGGTGTTCACACTCACAAGGTCCAGCATTAGGTGTTCACACTCACAAGGTCCAGCATTAGATTTTCACACTCACAATGTCCAGCATTAGGTGTTCACACTCACAAGGTCCAGGATTACGTATTCATACTCGAAAGATCCAGACTTAGGTGTTCGCACTCACAAGATCCAGACTAAGGTGTTCGCACTCACAAAGTCCAGGATAACGTGTTCACACTCACAAGATCCAGACTTAGGTGTTCACACTCACAATGTCCAGAATTAGGTGTTCACACTCACAAGGTCCAGCATTATGTGTTCACACTCACAAGGTCCAGCATTAGGTATTCACACTCACAAGGTCCACGTTAGGTGTTCACACTTACAAGGTCCAGCATTAGGTGTTCACACTCACAAGGTCCAGCATTAGGTGTTCACACTCACAAGGTCCAGCATTAGATTTTCACACTCACAAGGTCCAGCATTAGGTGTTCAACTTACAAGGTCCAGCATTAGGTGTTCACACTCACAAGGTCCAGCATTAGGTGTTCACACTCACAAGGTCCAGCATTAGATTTTCACACTCACAATGTCCAGCATTAGATGTTCACACTTACAAGGTCCAGCATTAGGTGTTCATACTCACAAGGTCCAGCATTAGATTTTCACACTCACAATGTCCAGCATTAGATGTTCACACTTACAAGGTCCAGCATTAGGTGTTCACACTTACAAGGTCCAGCATTAGGTGTTCACACTCACAAGGTCCAGCATTAAGTGTTCACACTCACAAGGTCCAGCATTAGGTGTTCACACTCACAAGGTCCAGCATTAAGTGTTCATACTCACAAGGTCCAGCATTAGATTTTCACACTCACAATGTTCAGCATTAGGTGTTCACACTCACAAGGTCCAGCATTAGGTGTTCACACTCACAAGGTCCAGCATTAGGTGTTCAACTTACAAGGTCCAGCATTAGGTGTTCACACTCACAAGGTCCAGCATTAGGTGTTCACACTCACAAGGTCCAGCATTAGGTGTTCACACTCACAAGGTCCAGCATTAGGTGTTCACACTCACAATGTTCAGCATTAGGTGTTCACACTCACAAGGTCCAGCATTAGGTGTTCACACTCACAAGGTCCAGCATTAGGTGTTCACACTCACAATGTTCACCATTAGGTGTTCACACTCACAATGTCCAGCATTAGCTGTTCACACTCACAAGGTCCAGCATTAGGTGTTCACACTCACAAGGTCCAGCATTAGGTGTTCACACTCACAAGGTCCAGCATTAGGTGTTCACACTCACAAGGTCCAGGATTAGAGGTTCAGATACATTAGGTCCAGGCTTTTGGAGTTCACCTTCTCAAGGTCCTGAAGTTTAATGAATATTTAGCAATATTCCAGCAATACCACGGCGGGGGACACCAGAAATGGGCGTCACACATTGTACCCATGTCGTGAATCTAAGTCGGGCCTTCGGCGTAACAAGCGAACGCTTTACCCACTAGGCTACCCGACCGCCCACTGAAGTTTAATGTTCGGACACGAGATTCAGGCTTTTGAGGCCCGGACTCACGAGGTACAGGTGTAGGGTTCAGACTCACGAGGTACAGGTGTAGGGTTCAGACTCACGGGGTACAAGTATAGGGTTCAGACTCACGAGGTACAGGTGTAGGGTTCAGACTCACGGGGTACAGGTGTAGGGTTCAGACTCACGAGGTACAGGTGTAGGGTTCAGACTAACGAGGTTCAGGTGTAGGGTTCAGACTCACGAGGTACAGGTGTAGGGTTCAGACTCACGAGGTACAGGTGTAGGGTTCAGACTCACGAGGTACAAGTATAGGGTTCAGACTCACGAGGTACAAGTATAGGGTTCAGACTCACGAGGTACAGGTGTAGGGTTCAGACTCACGAGGTACAGGTGTAGGGTTCAGACTCACGAGGTACAGGTGTAGGGTTCAGACTCACGAGGTACAGGTGTAGGGTTCAGACTCACGAGGTACAGGTGTAGGGTTCAGACTCACGAGGTACAGGTGTAGGGTTCAGACTCACGAGGTACAGGTGTAGGGTTCAGACTCACGGGGTACGGGTGTAGGGTTCAGACTCACGAGGTACAGGTGTAGGGTTCAGACTCACGAGGTACAGGTGTAGGGTTCAGACTCACGAGGTACAGGTGTAGGGTTCAGACTCACGAGGTACAGGTGTAGGGTTCAGACGCCCAAGGTTCAGGCTTATATGTTTGACACTCCATAGTCCCCAGCTATGGGCTTCAGATTCGCCAGGGTAAAACTTTGAGGGTTACGAGGTTGGTGAGTACATAATAACTAGTTTCGGGTTGGGAAGGACTACTGCGATGTTCTCACACACGGGCAGCAGTGTTCAGACAAAACAGTTTTATATTGATTCATTTAACCCATCAGTATCCGTTTTCTGCTCGTCTGCCTAATGCTTTCCCAATACAGTGTTCAGGTGCTTTATACGTTCTGTACTGGTGACCGGCAACCGTGTCGATGGGTAGACAGCATTATTGGAAATTACCTTTCAACCATTCTATTACATATGCAAATAGTTACATTGTATATGAATTTGTCATTTTATGCCCATAATGACTTCCTTCATTTTGCCAAGTCCAAATGGCTGTCTTACAGGAAATGCTAAGGAAGAGACAGTCAGGAGGCAGTGAACATTGCTATTGAACGTGTACTAGCACCAGGTCGATGGCTCCTGCCGTTCTCCCAGTCAACAGCACCTCTTGTAACTCCGACCATAAAACACCTGAATTATTGCAACACAATCTCAGCTCCGACTGTGGAGTTCCGCAGACGCTAAGAGTCTCACTGTTGCAGGTAGCTGTAATCTCCTTAACAACTGATATCCCTACTGAATGTCACTCTAGTGCGGCCAATAAACTTACCTGGGCAATTGGATACCCTAACTTGTCTCTTTCACCTGCCGCGTTCCGGCGATCAAACGCTAGAGGAAGTTTAATTGGGAGAAAAGTGGAGATTTAATTTGTTGAGTAGCCTGGATATGGGCACGTGGCCGTACCAGGTGTTTGTTCTAAGGGGAATGTTTGGATAACAGTAAATTATGGAGTGTTCGGGATTGATGTTATGTCCATCGAATGGGCAGGGACACGATGAGAGAAAGTTTAATGTTGCTCGTGTTCCATGTTCTAGAGTGAGACACATGTTGAAACCGGTTATGTAAGTCACAATATGATACTTTTAACATCGTCACTAAAATACAGTTTTCATAGATGGAAATGCTAGAACAGAGACTCCTCATTTCTGTAATCCTGAAAGTCAATCACTCAGTCAAACACTCATTCAATCAATCAGCCAAAAACTCTTAATAAACAATCTTACTTTATTTTTTCAAGGCTAGCTGACCCATTACAGCACATGCGAATTTACCTTAATTCATCACGAGCTGTAAACACGTACAAATATTTTCCTAACATGAATACCATAGAATGTGACAAAAGAATATGTTTTCAGCTTTAATTGCATCATATAGTGAACATTTTTGCACGTACAATAGACATGCAATAGACCCTTTCTACCATTTTGTATTCCAAGATGATTAAAAACAGCTCACCAAATCAGTTATGCCTTTCGGTATTTAGGATTTTGCTTGCACTGTCAACACATATACTTTATCAGTACGAGTAAACTGATAACATATTCCAAGGAAACCTGGCTCTCCGTTAGAAGCCACGCGTAACCAAATCGGCAAACAACAGATGCCCCGGGCGTCTTACATCACATGTCTGTCTTAACATGTAGTAACATTGGTGTAGATATCTGTAAATTGGCATTGCAATTGATTATTTGATTATTTAACACACTTTGTATAGCGCTTCACATATTTATACATCTGGAGAAATCAGAAAAAGCTTACAAAATTACGTACAATTTCTACCTTTTATTTATTTCACGGGTGTGTTGTCACATTGTCACTCTTGAAGGTCACCAGTCCTGATGTACTGTATACATGTAGAAGTCACTGGATAAATATACGTCAGAATAGTCTCCATGAGAAAATGGTTGAACTCAGGACAACACGATCCTGCTATATGATACCAATGCAATTTTGTTCTTTGAAAAAAACCCAGGGTTATTATATGTCAGAATAATGGGGTTATCAATTAAATTATTGGTTTACGAACGCCATAGGTCCCGATACAAGAGAATTACACCGGTACATATAATATTATGTTACATACGTGTGAACATGATGATAGATGTTTTCATACGGAAAGCCAGATTATTGGATTACTTCGCAGTATAAATGCATGGCAGATGAACAGAATAATTTGATAGTGTGTACATTTTTCATTATGTGACAAAAAGGACGACAAAGTATGGAGACCAGCTATCTAAAGATACATTTCGGATGTCTGTATATGCAGGACAAGTAAACATGACATCTTCAACGCGGTTACAACAAACAGGGTCATCACATGTCAGAATAACAGGCTCGTCACATGTCAGGATAACAGGGTCATCACATGTCAGAATAACAGGGTCATCACATGTCAGAATAACAGGGTCGTCACATGTCAGAATAACAGGGTCATCACATGTCAGAATAACAGGGTCGTCACATGTCAGAATAACAGGGTCATCACATGTCAGAAAAACAGGGTCATAGCATGTCAGAATAACAGGGTCATCGCATGTCAGAATACCAGGGTCGTCACATGTCCTAATAACAGGGTCATCACACGTCAGAATACCAGGGACGTCACATGTTAGAATAACAGGGTTGTCACATGTCAGAATACCAGGGTCATCACATGTCAGAATACCAGGGTCATCGCATGTCAGAATAGCAGGGTCATCACATGTCAGAATAACAGGGTCATCACATGTCAGAATACCAGGGTCATCACATGTCAGAATACCAGAGTCATCGGATGTCCTAATAACAGAGTTATCACATGTAAGAATAATAGCTTCATCGCATGTTAGAATAACAGGGTCATCGCATGTTAGCATAACAGGGTCATCGCATGTCAGAATAACAGGGTCATCACATGTCAGAATAACAGGGTCGTCACATGTCAGAATAACAGCATCATCACATGTCAGAATACCAGAGTCATCGGATGTCCTAATAACAGAGTTATCACATGTAAGAATAATAGCTTCATCGCATGTTAGAATAACAGGGTCATCGCATGTTAGCATAACAGGGTCATCGCATGTCAGAATAACAGGGTCATCACATGTCAGAATACCAGGGTCGTCACATGTCGGAATAACAAGGTCATCACATGTCAGAATACCAGGGTCGTCACATGTCCTAATTACAGGGTCATCACACGTCAGAATACCAGGGTCATCGCATGTCAGAATAACAGGTTCATCGCATGTCCTAATAACAGAGTCATCGGATGTCCTAATAACAGAGTTATCACATGTCAGAATACCAGGATCGTCACATGTCAGAATAACAGGGTCGTCACATGTCAGAATACCAGGGTCATCACATGTCAGAATACCAGGGTCACCGCATAACAGAATACCAGGGTCGTCACATGTCAGAATAACAGGGTCGTCACATGTCCTAACAACAGGGTCATCGCATGTCCTAATAACAGGGTCATTACATGTCAGGATAACAGGGTCATCACATGTCAGAATAACAGGGTCATCGCATGTCAGAATAACAGGTCCATCGCATGTCCTAATAACAGGGTCATCACACGTCAGAATACCAGGATCGTCACATGTTAGAATAACAGGGTCGTCACATGTCAGAATACCAGGGTCATCACATGTCAGAATACCAGGGTCATCGCATGTCAGAATAGCAGGGTCATCACATGTCAGAATAACAGGGTCATCACATGTCAGAATACCAGGGTCATCACATGTCAGAATAACGGAGTCGTCACATGTCAGAATAGCAGGGTCATCACATGTCAGAATAACAGAATCATCACATGTCAGAATACCAGGGTCATCACATGTCAGAATAACAGAATCATCACATGTCAGAATACCAGGGTCATCACATGTCAGAATACCAGGGTCATCACATGTCAGAATAACAGGTTCATCGCATGTCCTAATAACAGAGTCATCGGATGTCCTAATAACAGAGTTATCACATGTCAGAATACAAGGATCGTCACATGTCAGAATACCAGGATCGTCACATGTCAGAATACCAGGGTCATCACGTGTCAGAATACCAGGGTCATCACATGTCAGAATACCAGGGTCATCAGATGTCCTAATAACAGGGTCATCATATGTCAGAATACCAGGGTCATCACATGTCAGAATACCAGGGTCATCACATGTCAGAATACCAGGGTCATCAGATGTCCTAATAACAGGGTCATCATATGTCAGAATAACAGGGTCATGACATGTCAGAATAACAGCGTCATCACAACGTCTTCGAAATAGTCTCAT